TGCCCTTTTTTTCATTGGAACAACTTTACTATTTATTTATCAGTCATAGAATTAAGCTCCAGTTAACATTCAAATCAGAAAATTGGCCTTTTACTTTAGAATTTTCAATAACCATATTTTAACATTGTCTTTTTATCAGTATCAAAGATTACTTTTATTATCTCAGGAGAAAAATTCTTTTATTGAGACTTAAAGCAAATGATTTCACTAATAATTAAAATGGCAGGTAAATACTAAAAATTTTCTGCTAAATGTAAAAACAGCTAACTTTTGTCAGATCTTTTTACCCAGAGTACTTAACTATAATTCCTGTACTGTTTGCTTTTCAAAAAATTTCCTGTTTTACCTACTGTTATATGATTTAAAATGTTCCAATTAATTTATGCCCCATTAATACCAATAAGCAATACTTGTGATACTACTCATTCATGAGTTTTTATTATCTGCTATAGCTGGTATTTTTATATTCGGTGTATCATTTATTCATGTCTTTAGCATTTATTTGCCATTTAGCATTTAGCATCAATTTGCCAGCTACCATTCTGGGTATCAGGGGTGCAGCACAAAGGAGGCAAACAATAAACAGATCTATCACATGTGGGGTGATGGCATATTATGTACAATGACCAGCAATAAAGCATGTTAAAGGAGAAGAGACCTATGGGAATGAAAGATTACACCTTTACAGCAGGTGGTTAGAGGTAACCTCATTAATCCTGAGTCATGTGGGTAGACATGAGAAGACAGTGAGCAAGCCCTGTGTGCCTCGGAAAAGACCCTCCCAGGGAGCAGCATGTGCAAAGGCCCTGAGGCCTGTGAGTTTGAGTCTGTGTTTGAGGAATAGCTAGGAGGCCAGAGTGGCTGGAGTGAAGGGACCTGCTAGGAGGGGTAGAGAAGATCAGAGTGAGTGTGTGTGTGTGTGGGGGGGTGTTCTATAAGGTCTTGCAGATCATTATAAGAATTTTGGCTTTTGGAATATTAGCATTATAAGGTATGGCTTAGGCTTGGAAAAGGCTCACTGTAGTGTGTTACCAATACTCTGACATAGAAAAGACTAGAAGAGGGAGACTAAGGAGGTTGTAACCATACTTGGGGTATTTTTTGAAGGTACAGCTGACAGCAATAAATTTATAAGCTGAGTTTATAAAGCTATTATTTTAAATCTCTATTACCCTGGGTCTACTAGATGAATGTTCATAGAATACAAGTAGTTTAAGTTTCTCTTAAAGCTGCTTTCTGCAAGTACAAATTTTAAGGACTGACTTTGTTGAGATTTTTTTTTTTTTTTTTCATCAGTGGCACCTGGGTGGCTCAGTTGGTTAAGCATCTGCCTTTGGCTCAGGTCATGATCCCAGGGTCCTGGGATCGAGCCCCACATCGGGCTTCCTGCTCAGCTGGGAGCCTGCTTCTCCCTCTCCCTCTGCCTGATGCTCTGCCTGCTTGTGCACGCTCTCTTTCTCGCTCTCAAATAAATAAATAAATAAATAAAATCTTTTAAAAAAGTAAAGAATTACTGATTCAGTAGCAGATATTTGAAATTTTATTGATATTTAAGCTTTCTGCCTTATATAACTAATATAGAAAATGTCTGAGGTAAGTATATTTAAAATACTCCACATTCTCAGATACAGTTTACATTTTCTTTTAAAGATTGTATTTATTTGAGAGAAAGAATGAGAGAGAGAGAGAGAGAGCGCACTTGGGGTTGGTCAGAGGGAGAAGCAGACTCCCCGCTGAGCAGGGAGCCCGATGCGGGACTCGATCCTAGGACTCCAGGATCATGACCTGAGCCAAAGGCAGTTGCTTAACCAACTGAGCCACCCAGGCACCCCAGTTTACATTTTTTAATAGAGATTTTTTTCCTCTTTATTATTTTCTGTGAAATGTAGGGGAAAGAGAATAAGACATGGGCACTAAGAGCCCCAGATTTGGAATGCAAGAAAACCTAGGTTCAAGTCCAGGCTCCTACTCTTTATAGCTGTGCGACCTTGGGGAAGTCACCTAACCTCCCTGAGCTTCAGCAGCTTCCTTTCTTGGAGTCTGGAGAATGGGTTGCTGTGTATGCATATGAAATAGCACAGTACCAGGGGCATATTTAGAATTTTGTTATTTATCATTGTTTTGTTTATTTTAATAATGGCTATGACAAGGAAGATATTGATGACACAGGACATATTTGCGTTTATTGGAAAGAATTTTAATATTTTTTAAAAGATTTTATTTATTTGACAGAGCAGGAGCAGGGGTAGGGACAGAGGGAGAGGGAGAAGCAGATTCCCACTGAGGAAGGAGCCTGACGCAGGGCTGGATCCCAGGACCCCGGGATCATGACCTGAGCTGACCGACAACTGAGGCACCCAGGCGCCCTGGGAAAAATAATTTTAGAAGGAGCTGTTACCTTTAGGCATGACTGCAGCAAAGCTGCTATTTATTCCCAATCACTTAGGTACAGACGTCCACTTCATATACCTAATATTCAGTACATAGACTGGTGTATGCACTAAAAGGCATGTAAATAAGGACAGGCCCAAAATACTAACTATTGTATTTAACTTGTCAGATGTATACTGAATTTAATAATAAACTCACTAAAATGACAGCCTTTCACTGTATATAACCATCTTTATCTTAGTGAAAGCTGACACAAGTGATGTTCCTCTGACTTACCTTTCTCGCTTTTCATCACCTAAACCCCTGGCTCCATTGTGTCGTGTAGGCGAGGTGCCCCAGTGAAGTTTAATATGACAGGATGACTTGCTGTATCGCTGTGGATCACAATCTCCTTTGACAGTTGAAGCAAACAGTAAAATTCACTCTAATATAACCATGTGGTGTCTGTCAGAGAGCAAAGCCAAAGAGCCATATCAGTGATCAGAATAATAAATATAAGTTCTTTATTCTTTTTCACCAAGTTTGCATAGGCATATATCGTGAAATGCCGACCCACAACTTTGTGGTGTGGATTTTTGTGCTATCTATATGATAACACAATGTAGTTATAGTTTGCATCTGAATGCTCAAATTCCCAAGTTAATGATGTATATAAAACTCCCTGCTTGAACTTTTGTGATCATTATTATACTTACTCTTAAGTTATAGTCTTGGTTTTGTGCTATCATTTGCTCAGTGGGAATTGACGCTGAAGTAATATGTGAAAAAATCCATTATATTATAAATTATTGTAATATGATAAATTATTATAAAGTATTGGGGTTAGCTCAGAGTTCATTATTTTGTAGTTTATAGATCAGACTTTCTTTTCTCCTTCCTAAAAATATTTGAAAGACCAATATTTGCCATTAGTTTTTCTGCAGTTCACATTGAAAATACATTCCGGTAGAATGTACTATTCTGACTATGAAATAAAATAATTGGTGTTTCCCTATTTAGGGATGAAGTATAATTGTAAGATTTTCAAAGCATAAATTCCAGCAGCTTGTGCGTTTCTGAAATAACAAATTATTTACTCTATAATGGCAAAAAAAAATTTTCAGACTTAAATGATGCTGTGAGATGAATAAAAGGTCTTTAGGTCATTATGATTCAGGTATAACTTTAAAAGTAATTGCTTTTATCCTAATTGACTAGTTGCAAGCATCAAAGATACACATGCACACGCATGTTTATATGTATATGTGAAACGAGTGGGAGCCCCAAATAGCAATCTTCTGGGGAAAGTTATATCAAGCATTCATTTCTCTTTGTTTTTCATAATCATCTCTACCTATCTTATCCATAAATATTAAAAATTAGTTAAAATTATAAGTACGTAAGTCTTTGGGAACTAAAATATCTTTAGAAAAATAAGCTAATAGAGGAAGAAATGATTGGTGTTTATCAAATGCAAGAGATTCATTTTGTTGAAATAGACACTTTTTGAATATGACATTAATAGGTCTTTCTCATTGCGTTAACAAAGTTACAGTTCATAGGTTCAAAATTTTTGATGACTGTTATACAAGCAGATACTTTTTTTTTTTAAGATTTATTTATTTGACAGAGAGAGAGACAGTGAGAGAGGGAACACAAGCAGGGGGAGTGGGAGACGGAGAAGCAGGCTTCTGCCTAGCAGGGAGCCCGATGCAGGGCTGGATCCCAGGACCCTGGGATCATGACCTGAGCTGAAGGCAGACACTTAATGACTGAGCCACCCAGGCACCCCAATATACAACCAGATACTTGAACTGATATAGAATAAATTCTAAATCCATTATTAGAAATATTTTATACTTTTAATGCTGATCTTAAGTAAAAGAAGATTTCTGTTCAGTCTTCGTAACTACCTCTAAAAGTCCTGATGTGAACTTGCCTTGATTCCATAGGGATATTTGGCTGAGCCCAAAATGCAGGAACATAGCTGATCTGTGTTCTCTATAAGTTTTTATTCAACTATTTGTTTTGAATTATAAGCCCCCACATTTAAACAACAACAAAAAAAAAATGCAGTAAATCACCAAATGTATTCAAATTTTCTGTGTTTTTTTACAATTAGAATGAAATCTCCAGTTTCACATTAGCTTAATTTTTACTTGGAAGAAAAGTAGTTAAAACATTTTAGTTTGCGTTCAGTATGCTTTTATAATATTTTCATCCACGGGATATTTATTCAATTTGTCAAATGTTTGGTACCACATAAAACACTTTTCACTACCATTCTCAAGGACTAGTCATTGTTTTCAGTAGATATTTGCTACTGGAAAATATTTATTGTAATCCTTTACCTTGAAGGCTGTTTAAAACAGAATAATTCCATTCATTCCAGGTCAGAATATGAAGCAAATGGCTACAAATACCTCCTTTAAATAAATTTCCATTATAGATGCAAGTAATATGTATACTATCCAATATGCATTTTCCTTAATTATTCTTCAGGGAAATAGAGATATAAAGATATATGTATATATAAATATATTTAAAAATAAAGGTATACAAAAAATATGAAAGTAAACATTCAATCAGTATAAATTACTGATTCTGTTTGTTTGTTTTTTTGTTTCCAGGCCTGATGGAATTGGAACTGTTTCAATGGAAGAAAAAGAGAGATTTGAGGAGATAAAAGAAAGACTCTCTTCCCTTTTAGAAAATCAGATAAGCCATTTCAGGTATATACTCTGTTCATTAAAATTAAGTATTTGCTTTCTTCACTCAACACTCCAGTTCCCTATAGAGGTTTATTATGTCTTTCTTTGGCTACTCAAGAACTACCAGTAGCTTCTTCTCCATCGCCTGCCAGGTAAGATCCATATTCCTCAGTCTGTGGTCTGCTTCTAAGCCTGCCATTCAGTTTCCACCATTCATTAATGTAGGTCCCTTACCCCTTCAATTTATGGAATGCATCTCTCACTTGCTTGTGCATTTCTCATCCTCGAGTAACCTCTTCCCCCAGCTCTGGTGAGTAGTCCTCCCTCTCTCTGAATCACCAGGCAAGGAGCTTCTTGTGTCTTATCTTCATAGTAGAGCTGTTTTCGATCATTCCAGCAAAGACTGGAAAACCTGAAGTCTTTTAGCATTTATCATCTGTACTCTTCACTAGTCACTTAACACATAGTTATAATACCCATTTCTTAAGTCATTAGTTATTTTATTTACATTTTGTGAGAACAAGGGCCTTGTTTCCTGGCACAGTTCCTTGCTCAAAAAAATTAACCATTGATACTAAGAAACATTTACAGAATGAAAGATCAAAATCTTGATATTTTTTCCCCTGATTATAGTTAGCTCAATAGAACCTAATGGTTAAAAAGGGAAATATTTCTGGAGAATGCAATTCAAGACAAAGGAGAAAACAAAGAAAGAGGGATAGTTAAGATCCCTGAACAGAAAATGAGTGGTAAAGAGGAGGGAATCTCCATAGTGATAGTTAATAGAAACCCCAAGTGATGATTGAGCTTAGAAAGCAACCAGTTCTGATGAGAGCAGGTCAGAAAAATTCTTCAAGTAAATTAAATTGACAAAATACTAAGATGTTTTAGTATGTTGAGAGAGGATTTACCCACCTGGAATTGAGTTTGGAGTTCTATTTAAAAAAGATATTAAAGGGGCGCCTGGGTGGCTCAGTTGGTTAAGCAACTGCCTTCGGCTCAGGTCATGATCCCAGGGTCCTGGGATCGAGCCCCGCATCAGGCTCTCTGCTCAGCGGGAAGCCTGCTTCTCCCTCTCCCACTCCCCCTGCTTGTGTTGCCTCTCTTGCCATCTCTGTCTCTCTGTCAATTAAATAAATAGATAAAATCTTTAAAAAAAAAATAAAAAAGATATTAAAAACAAAGACAAGTATTAATTATAAACAAAATAATGGCATGTAAATCATAGTAAATACTGTGTATCACTTATCTGGCACATTTACATAATATAAATACTGAATTTAACCCCCCAAAATGGCATAACTGTGTTAAAAGATAAGAAGGACAGGAATTACATTTAGGATGGGGGAAAGCAGTCAAAAAAAAAGAAAAAAAAAGAAGCTACATATGTCTAAGGTGGAGTAACAGGATTATATTTACCCTCCCATCTGAAACAAAAAAATTTTTAAAAAAATTTTTTTAATGTGGAAAAATGCTTTTCAGCACATTAAGCATAAGACAATGAATACAACTGATTCTTGAGAGATGAGAAACAAATGAATAAGCCCTTTCATTTTCTCCACTTGGCACCAGGAGAGTGCTTCTGAGCCATGGCCCGTGGAGGAGAATCCCAGTGGACACCCTGACTTGAGGAGACAGAGATGTGAGTCCAGGGAGGGCAAAGCACCCAGAGTTTGCAGGTCAAACTTCTGAAGAAAAGAGAGGAGAGACCTGCAGGTGTTTGCTGAGGGGCCCCCTGGAGTCTTCAACTGAGTATTGATTTGAACATGTATGTAAGGAAACTATTTGAAGTCAGACAGATAATCCTTTCACTCTGTGGTAGGATTACAGGAGATAATCCTCAAAGCTAACATAGAGCTAAGAGGAGTACCAGTTTCTACCACCCAGATTGGAAAGCTTCTAAGTCATGAATAGAGGGTCGAATACTCAAGAGAATTTTTGCCTCAGTAATAGAAAAAAATTAGCCCTGTTTTTATTGCTCCTAATGAGGATTAAAATCAAGTTTCAAATAAATCAAATTGTTTTTAAGTAATTTAACTGCATTCCAAACAAAGGTCAAGAATAAAAGAATGCAAAAATATTGAGCCACCAATAATGTAAAATAATAATGTCTAGCATCCAATCAAAAATTTCTAGGCAGACGAAGAAATGGTAAAATATGACCAATGAAGAGAATGAAAACAGCCAAAAGTGGAAGTGACTCAGAAGATAGAATTAGTAAACAATAGTATTAAAAGAATTCTTACCAAATGTCATATGCTCAACCTCTTAAGGGCGCCTATGGAAAACCTACAACTTCATACTTAACAGTGAAAGATTGAATGTTTTTCACCTGAGATCAAAAGCAAGGCAAGGATGTCTGCTCAAAAATCAGTAATCAAGGTTGTGTGGTGTGGACAGTTCAGAAATCCACTCATACACATGTGGTCAATTGATTTTCAAAGATACACAAAGATAATTTGCAAAGTACACTTTTTTCAATAAATGGTGCTAGAACTATTAGATAGCCAAATGCAAAAGATTGACCTGGACCCATACCTCATACCTGATTAAAAAGTTAACTCAAAATGGGTAGACCTAGAAAACAGAAAATCTCTTTGTTCTTGTACGAAACAAAGATTCTTCAAAACACCAAAATCATGATTCATAAATGGAACAGTGTTACCTTGAACTTCATCAACATTAAGAACTTTTGATCTTCCAAAGACATTGATAAGGGAATAAAAAGATATATCTCAGAATGGGAAAAAGTATTTGCACAATACATATCCCACAAAAAACTTCTTTCTATCCAGAATATATAACTAACTCTTAAATCTTAGAAATGAAACAACCCAATAAAAAATTGTTCCTGATATTTCATCAAAGACACATGGCAAAAAGCCATATGAAAAGATGCTCAATGTCATTATTCTTTGGGGAAATACAAACTAAAACACAATGCAGTACTACTACATTATTAGTATAAGTAAAATTAAAAAAAATAAGTACCACCCAACAAGTGTTGGCATGGATATGAAACTGGAACTCTGCATATACTCAGGAGTATAAAAGGGTACAACCCACTTTGTAAGACGGTTTGCAGGTTTTTAAAAATTCAAACACCTAACATATGACCCAGCCATCCCACTTGTAGGTATTCTCCAAGAGAAATCAAAGCCCATGTCCACACAAAGACTTTCATGTGAACATACAGCATTATTCATAATAGCTGAATATGAAAACAAGCCAGATGGCCACAACAAGGAAGAGACAAACAGTGTATCACAATACTTCTGAGCAGTAAAAAGGAATGAACGGTTGATAGCATGAATGAATATCAAAATATACTGAGAGAAATCAGATGCAATGAAGTACATACTGTAAGATTCCTCTTATATAAAATTATAGAAAATACAAACTAATTCAAATACAAAGTAAATCAGTGGTTGCCTGGGCCCAAGGGGTGGGGAAGAAACATTTGGCAGTCACAAATATGTATATTAAATTGATTGTGGTGATGGTTTCACAGGTATATACATATGTCAAAACTTATCAAATTATGTATTTTAAAAATGTGCAATTATATGTCATTTATACCTTTAAATCTATTAAAAGCTAAGTACTTCCATAGTGGGAAGTTAGTAGAATAATATATAAAAGTGAAAAATCAAGAATTTGAAATATTAGCATGTAGGTTAGGCATAAAATGTTTAAATACAGAAAGAAATAGCTAAAAGTTAAAAACTTTCTCTTCTCGAGAAATTACTTGGGGAGTGGGGTGCAAATGACATAAAAACTTCTGTTTTTCATAAGAAGCCTTTAGAAGTTTCCTTTCAGACTATGTGTATATATAAGTTTGATAAAAAGAAATACTGTATTTTAAAATGGTAAAGAAAAGAAACAGTTTAATTGTGGGACATGTCTATGCAGGCTCATCTATCTGTGTAATTAATTTACTAAGGTGGGAATCATGGTGATTTTAATTTATTCAGATTAGATATTAAACTTGGTTGAATTTTATTTGATGATTGAGTATTTTCCACTTTGTTATTACAGAGCTGTGAAAGTGGTGCAAACCCAAAATATTTATCCTGAAAAGCAGAACAAAACTATTCCTTTCTTTTAAAACCCATTTTGTAAAGATTAATTAAGCCTCTGTGTAGTTATTTTCTGTACTTTATTGATTCAGGATTACTTGTACTCTGTAAATGTGTTGAATTATTTACACATCATGGGCAGCTAATGCTAATTCAGAACATACCCAGTGGGACCTCAGAGCCCTGAAATGCTAAATGTAATCTGGGGATCAGTAACATTCCATTCATAAAATGTGTCACCCTCAGGTTAATGGAAATAAACAATAGGAAAGACAATGGGTGGATTATGCAAATACACTGAAAAGATTTAAGCAGGGGAGGGGACTATAAGAACCCAATTTGTGTTTTATTTAAACTTGGATTAAGGTTTATGGTATACAAAATGATGAAAGCTACTTCGCTAATTTGCTAATGCTCTAAAAAGCAACACTGCACAGGAAAAAAAAACTATTAAATAAATTGGTTGTTGCTTTTGTGCAGGGTAGCAGAGAGGAGTAAGAGAATGCATTGAAGTACGAGTTAGTTGAAGGAAACTTTTAACAGTAAGTGAAATAAACACCGTTCTGAAGAAAAATTTGACTAGATTTATGATGTTTCTTGCATTTATCTGACACTAGTAAAAGTTTCATAAAACTAAAACCCGATCCTAATATGAATTTAACAGCTGCTTTCTGAGAAATCCATCTTTAATCAGTCTTTAAAATTTGCTGCTATAAAACAAGTTGAATTTAAGTATGTGTTTTTAGGGAAACCTGTTCAGATTGCCTTGTGAAAAAAATAATTTCATTGTGGGTTACACCTTAGAAGATGTGTTTACCAAGTCCCTGAATAATGGCAAAGGACATGGAAATCTATAAACTTCAAGTTACCGGTTTGAAGATTTCTAATCCAGACAGCTCAGCTGCCTGTAGCACTTGATCTTGGGTGGGGGGCGGCGGGGTTTGGGGAGAAGGTGCTTTACTGAACCTGATTCAAGAAAGCCAGGAGCTCCAGCAGGATGAAGAGGCCCTGACATTCTCTGCTCTTTAAGTGGAAAGTGACCTGAAGAGGAACCCCCGTGTGAAGAGCAATAAATCTGTTACCACCATGTGTTAGCTAACTTATGAGGAGCCCACTCACTCGCCCACGCCTCTGACCCTGATTGCGGAACACGGCGGTGACCTGCCCTCCGGTTGTTGGTGTATATTAGGAAGGCACGGCACGAGAAAGCTGAGGATAACCTTCCCCACTGGCAAATTGCGGAGCTCTGGAAAGTTTGTGTTTTGTGTGGGGAGGTTGTAGAGTTAGCTACTAGCATAACAGACAGGCAGATGTCAGGAAAGGGGGGAAGCTGGAACCTGTTTTGTACTCAAAGTTATGTCTGTGGGGTGTGCTTCCATCTCAAGCCACACATAAGTACAGGAGGAAATGGGGGAAATCATTTTGTTTATCATAGGGCTTGAATAACAGCAAACCTTAAGAAGATTTTAGGAAATGTATTTTTAATTATCTCTTTACTGGTAGAATCTTGGAGGTTTTTGTTTTGTTTTAATTTACTATGTTCTTTCTGAACATCATCAAAATTTTAGAACCTTTTCATCATAGTTGATACCTTTACTGTTAAAAGAAATCGAAAGCATGGAACCAGGTAAACTTCTGCCTTTAAGATTTTCCCAGATGGGTTGATGCTATTTTAACCACTTTTCACTGTTCTTCAATAATGCCAAGTAATAGAAGAGGGAATTACTGAGCAGTCTTGGATATTAAATGTTTGACTTTTTTGTTCCTCCTTTTGTTTTTAAAGATACTGTTTTCCCTTTGGACGACCTGAAGGTGCTCTGAAAGCTACGCTTTCATTACTTGAAAGGGTACGTTCGAACACTACTTTATAAATACTATTTGCACTTAGTGGCTGTGTGTTTTAGTGACTGCACCAGGCAGACAGGCCCATTCCTCACAATGAGTGTGTTCTCTGAGGCTGTCGGTCACATTTCATCACTTTCTCACCAGCTCTTAACTACGTCCAACTCTTCCTATCTCCTACCTCTTTCTCCCCGCAGCTTTTCGGAAGCCACCCCTGCCATCCGAGGCTGAGTTGATGGCATCTTGGCAGTACCCATTTTCCCCACCTCTTTCTTTCCCTCATGAAATAGTCTTCTTTGTTTTTTTTTCCATTTAAGTACAATCATCCATTTTTCAGACTTCACAGTTGTCTTTCATTACCCTCCCCACACCCCCGACTTACTTGTGCATCTACCTGTCACATTTCTTATACCTGTAAGGGTTTATCACTTAAAAGGCCCAAACGTATCCTTCCTTTCATTCTAAATCAGTCTCAAAATTCATTTCAACTCGTGTTACTTTAAATGAATCCATGAATGTGGAAATTCGTTTTCCCTCAAAAAATAAATAGCAAACAAGGCTTTCCTAGCCATGCTAAAATAATTTATTAATGAAAGTACATTCTCCACTCCTGTTTTTGTAGCAGACAAGGTTTGAAAGGGAAGTATCATTTTCATTTATTTATAAAACTATTCAAAGGCTAGTTGGAGCCTTAACAGTTAAGTGATGTGGACAATTCCTATTCCTTACCAGCATTAAAATGAATTTCTAAGGATCATTTATATCATGATAATATATATATATACATATATAGTATATAATATAATCATGATTTGATTATTCTGGCCCTAATTTATTGACTTCAAAGCACTTGGTCTTGTCCACTTTTCTGCCAAAGAATTCTAGATATATTACACTGTTGCTCAGCACTTCTATTAAAAGCAAAAAGGGAAGGCATTTTTCAGTGATTCAAGGACTTGGAAGATGAGGCTAGAACTGATGACTGTATACAGTGGTCGCGTATGTCTTGCCCCTGTTTTATCCTTGATTCCTGTGCATCGTATGATAGAAATATTATTACAGCGGTTACCTGTTTTATTAGAATTTTTATTATAAAGCTGTGTGTAACCCAGTCTTTTCCAAAGTATTCATTTCATCCAGTTCATTGAGGTATCATAGAAAAGATAAAATCTTTCCAGAGAGCTTTACTTTTGGAATGGCATCCCACCCTGAGTACCTGATACAGCCTCTCCGTGTGCTCGTTTCCATGGTAGAGCTCCTCTCCTCCCCCAGCAGGGAAGAGTTCCCGATGGCATAGATGCCCTCATGTACTGACACGAGCCAGGATGAACAGTGACCTTTTTTCCACGTAAAGTCACTTATCATGTCTCTTGCTGAACTGAGAGAGAAATGGTAGGGCCATTCTTCATTTCCGTGTCTCTGTACTTATTGACAGAAAAGCAAAATCTACATGTGAATTCTTCATACTTACTATGCTTTGGAAGAAATGGAGGGGATACAGGAAACAAGCTCTGTCTCCCTTTTTGCTCTTGCCAGCCCTTAATCTGTATTTTGCCAGGAAAGAGGATACAGTTCCCCCCACTCCAAATTAAATATCCAGCTCCTGGGTAATGTAAACTATCACCTGATTTCAACCCTGGACTCACCTCTGTAACAGACATATACATTCTAATTTTAACAGCTATTTCTATTATTTAAAAGTGTGTCAGGCTCCTGGGTGGCTCAGTTGGTTAAGCATCTGACCCTTGATTTCGACTCAGGGCATGATCTTAGGGTTGTGGGATCGCACCCCACTTTGGGCTCCATGCTGGGGCATGGAGCCTGCTTAAGATTCTCTCCCTCCCTCTCCCTCTGCCCTCTCTCCCTTGCCCCCCCACCGCTTGTGCGTGTGCTCTCTGTCTTAATGAATGAGTGAATGAATGAATGAATGAATGTGTGTCACCATGGGAAGGTCTAATGGTAAAGTTCATGGTTATGCATATGGGACAAAATTAATTTTAAATTTAAACTTTAGGAATAATCACATTAAAAATAGTACATTTAAAAACATAATAGTACATTAATGCTTGTTTTTTTTAACTATCAGCAGAAGGGTTTTTTTTGCCTATAAAGAATCTAATGTGTAGTTCTAATTAAAGTACCAAATATATGTAAATGTGTTAAAGATTTTTAATATGAGACTATGAAGAATAATTGAATTTGATGGAAAGGAAATTTTTAAGTGATAAGGTTTGCTGTTTTGAAAAAGAAAGCTTGCCTAACAAAATTAAAATATATTGTGAAGGATCACCAATGCTTAAATGGTTGAGTAAATTTGAGATTATAAAATCCTTTGTGCTGAGGCCGATTGAAAGAGAAAGAAATCATAAAGCATGAAATGGATGTTTTCATATTCTTTTGATGAGTCTTTAAGGTAAAAGACTAATAGAATAGTAAGAATACTTACTGTTCTTGTTTTCTCTATATTCACATTTTGCCTTCTTTTTTATAATTTGAATGTAAGTAAAGCCAGAAAAGCTGCATTAACTATATGAAAAGATAGAGGTTATCTAATGGTATAATCAAAACTGACTGTAAGCTATTTAACCACTGAGAAAGTTTTAAGGAAATTATCGTCAGTGAGTCATTATAAAAGTGCTTAAATACATTATGTTTTGAATTCTGGATATAACTGTATTTTCCCCTGGCCAATAGTAATACTTCTAAGGGAAAACAAAAACATATTTAGGAACTCAACAGAAAATAATCTGTTGTTTTTTAATTTCAGAAAGTTTCCGTGTATTTTAACGTTTGATATTCCATTCATTTCACTAAAAGATTTTCTCCCCGTCAACAGATTAAGTAATTAAAGTTTAATTGTGGAGTTAGAGATCTTGATTTTTATAGAGCTCAAAAGCAATGCTTGTTCTTCATAGAATTTTTTACTGTTTTCATATATATATATATATATATATTGCTCAAAAGATTTAAAGCTTTTCTATGAGGGATGTGCAAGACAAACCTTATTACTTGTCCCAAGGACTGTAATCCTGATCTGAAACAATTGCTGTAATGGTGTCGTGGGCCCCTGGAGGAAAAGTGACAGTCATCACACGGAACGGTGGTTTGGCCTATGGGAGGTTTTGATGTGCATAAATGAGGCTCGGACAGGAGGAGCCAAGATTGGAGGATTACATTCCTGGTTGTGAAGTGCCGACTCCTTACTTTGCCCCAGTGTTACCTAGGACCCCTTCCTCGTAATAGACCTAGGACATTTTGTGTAATTTGATTGCAGTCTCTGTTTTATGCAGTCTCTTTCTCTCCCCCTCTTCAGGTTTTAATGAAAGATATCGCCACTCCCATACCAGCTGAAGACGTGAAAAAAGTGGTCAGAAAATGTCTCGAGAAAGCAGCCTTGATCAATTACACTAGACTCACAGAATACGCCAAAATAGAAGGTCAGTGCACTGAGCAATTGTCCAAGTGGCAGTGAGAGCCAACAATGCCTATTAACTGAATTTTCTGTGAGAAGTTCTTTCCTTTCCTGAACAAACCTGTACCGTGGCAAAGGGAAATGTCTCATTAAAATCTCAGCTGGTGAACTGAAGAGCTTTTTCCTATTCATTGCTTTAATATGCCTCCTGGGACTCTGCTTGAATGAAAGACCCAGGATTCGTGCTTAAGTTGTCCTTTGTTCTTATTCTGAGTTTTCAAGGAACCAAAAGGTGTTTTCATGGGTTGTATTTTTTGACATTACCGTAAGTACATCTAACATTTAAACTATGGGTAGTGTCTTCTTTCCCGATCAGTAACGGTATAGTGTTACATAATTTTATTTTCTGTTCAACGGTGTCTCTCAGAGAAGGAGGAAACTTGATTATGGTGAGGGCCAAAATAAACTGATAGAATTCCCTGCAACTTTTCTTTGCTTGCCGTATATTAATGCACTTGAAAGATTAGGGAGGACTGCACATTTTTTCCTCTTCCTTCAGGTTTCATTCATTAAGAATACTGAAATTTAGGATGCTTAGAAATAACTAGGTTGAAATTCGTAGCAAAGTCACAAAATCAGCTTTATTCAGCAGTCCTTTAATATAATTAAAAATAGGAAGGGCCTCAAATATTTTGCTTTAATTATCATACAACTGGCTTGTGTAGTACAAGTAGCATTAACTTAGGGAAAAAGTTTGCAATGTTAAATACTTATATCTAAAAATAAAAGTAAATCCTCTATTAGAAAAATTTTAGTAACTTTTAATATAAAATTGTACTTAATTATAAATTTATTAATTATTAATATTAAGATAGTTTTATCAAAATTGGGATGATGAAAAAGATTGAGTATAATTGGCTGTTATATCCTTTTTTCTCTCCAAATCTGATCAAGCTTTCTAACAAGCATGCAATAACCAACCTCCTGAGTGATTAACAAAAAAGCCATCCCATCACTATAGCAACCAATATTATATCACAAGAGTAACAACATGAAACCTCCTTAGTTACCAGTTTAACATCATTAATTATGATATCACGTTGTGTTAAAGCAAAAGCAATAAATATTAGATAATTTGGGGAAAGTGGAAGATAAACAGATTGTTTTTCACATCTTGAATACCCATTCAAACAATTTTTGTGTTTTGGAATATTATGTGTTGTGAACATGGGTTGAAAGAATCGATACAAAAATAGACATTAAAACCTTTCAAATCTGATAAAGGGGAAAAAGTTTGTGCATAACTTGAATAAACATAATATTGTTTTACCCAGATGTTTCAATTCTATCCAAAAAACCTATGAGAATCCTTTTGTTCTTAACTGTCTGTTCTAATTAATATTTTTGACCATTATCTTGTCCAAGAATACTGAAAAGATATGCAGAATATTTCTATTTCCTGGTCAGAGTCCATTTTAACATGTACAAATAAAATTATTTGTCACAGCTTTTATTAATTAGCTAGCTTTTATTAATTAGCTAGGCGTGTTAACACTGGGGGTCAAAAGACATAGCTGTTCTGGATCACACAAAAAAATAAGTCTGTGTTAGAGAAGAGCCTATCATAGGACTAAATGGACAGTGGGCAGGGAATTCTCCTACTTCTTTCCCTTCTGGAGTCACCTTTTATTTCTAGTTGACTGTGAGAATATTCTAGAAAATGGATCCTAGAAATCTAATTGGGTGGGACTACTGAGCAGTCTCCATTTTCAAAACAAAACAAAACAAAATACATGCTTAGTATATGAGAAAACTTCTATGCATTTCATTAATTCCCTTTCTTCCAACCCCCATTCTTTTATCTAAAAAAATAAAGCACTTTTTGTTTATGCTCAGGACCAGACCAAGAACAAAATCTAATTTAAGTTAGAAATAGGAAGTGGCTACTTTTCCTTGCTTGATTGACCTCCTGCATTATGTGAGCAGCATGGGTAGAATCTGTTTTTCTCCTAAATTGTCTTTTCTTATGTTTTAGGCCCAGCAGAAAAGGAAGCAGGTAATGAATGTTTGTGCATGCACGTGTTGTTATTTCTATTGTGGTGCGTGATGTTTGATATTGATGGAGAGCTGTCCGCTTTTCAGGGCTCCTATTAGATCACTTTGGTTAAGATACTGAGAATACTTTGATTTTGTTGGAACTATTGTTAATGCTTTGTAGGGAAAATACAGGCCATTTATCTCTAAAAGTTCAGCGGTATTTTTTATATAAATTCAAAGCAAAAAACCGAGGTTGTATTAATGTTATACATTATGTTTTAAGCATGGACACTAATCTTAGTTGGAAGCTGTTGCCAATATTTGGAGGGCTCTTACAACTAGAAAAGAGGACCATCTTTCCTTTATCACTCCTGAAAAATAGCAGAGTAAAAAGCATAAATGCTATTAAATAAGAAGTAAGCAACTCTTAACTCTGAAAGTTGCACATCAGAGGAATGAACAGGGGTTCTGAAATCCCAGCCTCAGGCAGTTGCTAGGAAAGCGTTCTTCTCTTGGTCTCTGAATTTGTAAAGGTTTCCTTTTTTCTTATGCCACTTATTACCATTGTAATTAATTTAACTACATGTGCTGTTATCTGTTTATCCTACCTGTCTCTTCTTTAGCCCCTTGCAGGCAGGGTCCTGACTGAACGCGTTCACTGTTGGGTCCCAGCACCCAGCCCTGCACTGTTGACACAAAGTAGGCTCTCGGTGCTATGGAGAGAGATGAGAGGTTAGCTAGTTAGTTCATCCAGTGATGAACCTGCCTAGCCCAAGTTTCCTTCTCTTATTCAAACCCGGCACGCAGCATTATAGACAAGTTTGGCTTGTTTTTAACTGAAGTCTTCGACTAACGGGCTTTATTTCTATTTTTCCTAACTTTCAATTCTGTTTCAGTATTTGACCTCAGAAAGCGTCAGGCACAAAATGCTCTGAGCCCGGAGAAGGGGAAAGAACACACCTACAATGAGCACTAAAGTGCACTTTAGAGACTACCATCACCTCTTATGACCGCCCATTGTAATAGCAGCAGTCCTATGCTCTTTGACAAACTTTTTCAAAATCTCTTATGGCACTTTATCCCTCACAGTATTTCTGTTGTGAAGATAGGTTGTGTGTAGTTGACCCGCAGTCAGTCCAGAGGTGTTACGGGTTTTCCCACTGACATAAAGTGAAGAAGTCAGCCAGCTGGTACTTGTGTTGGGTGTCCTGATCCCCAGCCTACAGAGGCTACGCTCCTTCCCTTATGAAATGTGAAGGGGTCACAGTGCGCCTTCATGAAGGACGGGGCAAAGGCACCATGTAAAGTTGCACACATTCGCATTAAAGAGAGGGGAGAATGGGAGAGTTGCTCTCTTCCATGTACTTCACTTCCAGACAGAAGCCACACAGTCGACATTCATACTACCATTCCATGGTACAGGCTGATAACTATAGGAGAAACACTTTTCTTAATGTTAAATGCCCCCAGGGGCGCCTGGCTGGCTCAGTCGTTGGAGCATGGGATGCTTCATCTTGGGGTTGTGAGTTCGAGCCCCACGTTGGGTGTAGAGATTACTTAAAAATAAAAAAATAAAAATCTTTAAGCGGGTGCCTGGGTGGTACAGTCAGTCAAGCGTCCAACTCTTGGTTTCGGCTGGGGTCATGATTTTAGGGTTGTAAGATAGAGCCCCGTGTCAGGCTCCATGCTCGGTGCACAGTCTGCTTAAAGCTCTCTTTCCCTCTGCACCCCGACCTCCTGCTCACTCGCTTGCTCTTTCTTTCTCTCTCAGTGAAATAAATAAATCTTTAAAAAGTCTTCAAAAAGTTTTTTTAATAAAAAAACAATTAAATAGAAAAGAGGGAAAAACCAGTGTAGTCTAGGTGCTTTAAGTGGATTGAAGGGGAAAGCTAATCTCAGTTGAAGAATCTTCTGAAGTAACAGAAGAGGGGTTTTGAAGAAATAATAGTTCTATTTCTTTGGTTGCATTTGGTAGCAAGTTAACAGGGTTACCTAGTAAATGTTCTTAGAGGTACTTTTAAAAGTGACTAAAAATGAGAAAGTCAGTTACATGTGTAAGAGCTCAAATGCTTGATAAGACTTCCAAGCAGTATTCTCTTGGGCATTATGATCCTTTTCCTCAGTTAGTTTGTCATCTAGAGAAGAGTCGAATTCTGCCCAAGGTTTGTCATGATTTGACTGCCTATTCCCTCAGGCTTTTTTATTTACTCTGCTTCATTAGTTCCTTAAACAACTCTACAAAACAGATACTTTACAGAAGAGGTAACCGAGACTTCAGAAAGAAGTCAGTAAGCTGCACAAGGGTGTGCTGTTGTTCAGTTCAGCAGACATGAGATTTGCGCCCCTGTATCTCCGTGTTCCTGGGTTGCCCTGCGTCCAGGGCTGATTCCGAGTGCTGACTTCAACACCTCAGGCACATCACAGGAGCCAAGGGGTCATTTTTGCCAGAAGTATAGATATTTAATAAGAGCAAACACTTACTACCAGGAACTGTTTTAAGCACTTTACACGTATCCATTCACCCTTTCCAATAAATATTTCTATTATCGCTTTTCCGGGAAACTGAAGCAAGGAGGGTAGCCAGAGACAGCTAGGAAGGGGGAGATTACAACACACTGTCTTCCTGTTGAACTGTTGTCTTATTTCCCTGGGTCTTCCTGCCTCCCATTTCTTGGCAACTTGGGTAGTTAAATTTACACTCGGTTAAAGTATGTGGACATTGGAAAGGAAGTCTGAAACAGTATGGTCCATAGAATTACAATGAAAGCTATAGATGTACCTTAAAATTTTCTAGTAGTCACATTAAAGAGGTGAAAAGGAAACAGGTGAAATTAATTTTAATAATAGTTCATTTAACCTAATATATCCAAAATGTTATTATTTTAAAATGTATTCAATATACAGAATTATTAATGAGATATTTTACATTAGTTTTTCATACATAGTCTTTGAAGTCGGGCGTGTATTTTACTCCACTAGCACATTTTCTAGCCCCATTTCAAGTACTTGTTTACCTGTGGCTAGTGGCTGTGAATTAATTGGACAGCACAGATCCTATCAGAAGGCTAAGAGTTGGACTCCAGCATCTGAATCTTTTTGTTTTTTTCCCCACAGACACACATCTCACAGTGTCAGGTGTTGAAAGTGATTAAAATTTGTAACCTCTCCCCTCCCCCAACCCATATCATCTCCCTCCCTTCCCTACTTTATTTTTCTCTATGGCACGCAGTACAGTTCGCTCATACTACTATTGTCCTAGAAGGTTCGCTCCACCAGGGCAAGACTTTTGAATTTCAGTAACTGCTCTATCTCCGGTACTGAAAAACGTGCCTGGCACATATTTGGTACTCAGTAAATATTTATTGAATAAATGAATGGGTTTATGGCAGAGAGGCTATTTATAGCAGAGAGAACATCTGTAAACTGGCAAACTGGCTTGCAAAAGGTCATTCAAATCAATCACTGAATAATTAACAATATAAAAGCAAAAACTAACCACTTAAAAATAACAAGATTGGAAAAATTAAACCAGAATTTCATGCTCTTGTCATGCGCAGGGAGGGGGGGGGAACTAACTCTGGATCACAGAAGCCAGAGGTTATAGAGAACAACTGCATTAACAATATTTAGCAGTCTAACCTGTTTCAGTTGTTTCTATAATTCAGCACGATGCTCAGTTGGACTCCTAGTCCTGTCTCCCATCCTTGGGAATTCTTCACATTCTCCACCTGCAACACAAATTTGCAGAATAAAGGGATTTTTTGGCTTTGTAATAAATGAAATAGAACAAATGCCCTCTCTCTCTCAGTGGCTTCTTTCCTTCTTGGGAATTCTTTGCATTTGTTTCATGAGAACAGATAGTTCATTTTGAGAACTTAGTTTCTAGAAAGCGTTTTTTTTTAATTTTAAGAAATGTTTGAGATATACACAGCTGCAAAATCAGCTAGTTTTCTTCCTTGATTTAATTTTATCACGACTCCTTATGTAATGGTAAGATCCTTTTTACAGTATTTATAATCTAGGGTGCAAAAAGGTACTGAAACTTCATTTTCCTAATTGTGTGTCTTTTTTTTTTAATGGTATACCTTGTTGATGCAAACTAGCTCCTTTTAAAGGAGAATCAATTCCTTCATTCAAGGAATTTCTTATAGACAAGAACAGCAGTAATACATCTAATAACAGTCCCTGCTTTCTCCTGAAAACTATGCACTGTATGAGGACTTAACGATAAAAGAGAGAGAGGTGGCTCCTTAGAGCTTGCCTTGACCTGAGATCTTTTGCATAGATTTGGGAGCTAGACTTATTTTTAATCTCAAAACATGGAGGTGCCCTAAACCAAAGGTAGCATGGAGTGAACAGGCAAAGTCTTTGTGCACTGAGGATCTGTCTGGGCCCTTTGGTTGCCAGGTTTCCAGGTCTAACCCCCAAGTGCTCTCATTTTCAAAGTCTCCGTTGAACAGGTAGAGATGCTTTCCCAGAGGGCCACACTGCTTGCTTTCTTGGAGAGAAGTTGCACTTTGGCAGTCCTTACGTCATTAGGATGTGTTTGCCATCTGGGTGGCCTTTTAATTTAGCACTCCATTGTCAAAGTGTAGTGATAAATAAATAAAATCTGTTGTATAGAAGTGAGTAGATAAAAACTGCACAGTTGATGAGGATATTTTTTTGTTAGTGAATAGTTTTTTACTAATATTTCTAGAATAACCATTTTCTCATAAAAGTTGTATGTGTTTTCTTATAAATTTGATTTAAAAATTTTTTGAGTATTATACGTTACGATGAATTCAGGTTACTAATGTCTAAATAATAGACCTGAAATTTTGCACTCCCATTAGAATTGATGATATTCTGATGGAGGTAATTTGCATATTGGAAGAAACAAGTCTCAGCTTGAAAACTAGAAAGCAAGTTGAAGAATCAAAGAATTTCTTTGTAGCCTTTTTTGGACAGCATGGCTTGGACAGTGGGACCTTTGACATGAAAGTTAAACCTCTGTCACCATTTCTGATTCTGAGTCAC